GAGCCTTCAGAAACGAAATAACCCGACTAGATGTACTAACTGAGGAACCCTTCCACTCCAACCTTGGCAACTCTGGCATTGCTAAAGTATCAGTCTTGGCATGGCAATCTAGGACGGCGTGATATGGGGATAACCAGTCCATGCCAGGATGACCTCAAAGTCGGTCATATCAAGCAACATGAGATCTGCTCTAGTCTCAAAACCATAGAATGTGACCACACAGGACCGATAGAACCGATCCATAACCATAGAATCGCCCACAGGAGTGGATACATGAACAGGAGTACCCAAGGACTCACGAGGAATATATAGAAAATGAGCAAACAGAGATGATACATATGAATAGGTAGACCCTGGATCGAATAGCACTGAAGCATCCCTACCGCAAACGAAAATAATACCTGTGATAACGGCATCTGAGGCCAATGCATCTGGTCTGGCTGGAAAAGCATAGAATCTGGCTGGAGTGCCGGCTGGCTGGCCTCCACCTGACTGAACAGTAGCTGGCTGACCTCTCCCTGCCTAGCCTCCACCTCTAGGACGGCCCCTACCAGTCTGTCCTCCGCCTTTGGGCGGCCGGGCAGCTGGTGCTGAAATTATGGGCTGCTGACCTTGCTGCACTGCCTTGCCTCGAAGTCTGGGGCAGATACTCTTCATGTGACTTGAATCTCCACACTCGTAGCAACCTCTCGGTTCCATAGACTGGTGCCCTGAAATCTAGCCCTGATGGCCTGAATACCCACTAGAGGAACCCTGAATAGCTGGTGGGCGGTATGAACTCTCCGGTATAGCACTAGAGTAGGAACTAGAAAAAAAGAACCCTGGGGACCTGAATACCAGCTGGAAAAACCCTAGATGGCTGGCGTGCGGTAAGAACTCTCGGGTATGGCGCTGAAATAGGGGCACGCTGGAGCACCTCGAGGAGGTGGTGGTGCTGAATATGGGGGCCTGCTGGGCTGACCCCTCCCAAACTGACCTTTGCCCCTAGCCGGGGCGCCTCTAAACTCTCCAGAGAATCGAGCCCTCTTGTCTTGCTAAATCTGCTCTCTACCTCTCAGACGGTAGCCCTTAATGCTCCGAGCAATCTCCACTACCAGCTGATAAGGAGTCCCCATCTCAACCTCTCGGGCCATGTTGGCCCTAATACCAAAATGCAACCCTGCAACAAACATCTGCACTCTCTCTGCGTCAGTAGGAAGTATCATCAGTGCATGGCGGGACAACTCAAAAAACCTCGCCTCATAGTCAGGCACTAACATCTGACCTTACTCGAGCTGCTCAAACTGGCACCGCAACTCTTCCCTCTTAGAGGGTGGAATATACCTATCCAGGAAAAGCTGTGTGAACTTACTCCAAGTAATGGGAGGAGAAGCCGCTGGCCTGCCAAGAACATAAGACTGCCACCATCTACGGGATCTGCCCTCCATCTGGAAAGTACTGAAGTCAACCCTATGAGACACCAATATCCTCATGTTGTGCAGTCTGTCCCTGCACCTATCAATGAAATCTTGGGCATCCTCACAACGCTCGCCCCCAAAAATAGGAGAGTGTAGTCTAGTCCATCTGTCCGATAACTTCCACGGATCGCCGTCCGCAGCTGGCCTGGGCTTGGGTACCACTGCGGCAGCTGGCTGAGCCCCATCCGCGGGTAGTGCACCTGGAGTCTGATACACTGCAGCTGCATGACCAGGAGCCTGAGCAGTAGGGGTCTGTGCCCCCCCTCCCGTGAGATGTGGCTGGGTCTGCTGGAAATAAACCAGCCTGAGTCATGGAATCCATGAACCGCAGCATACGGCCCATGACCTCCTGGAAGCCCGGTGCATTAATGAAATCCGCTGGGGCAGGCTCTGCTGCGGGCGCCTCGCCCTGCTCCTCAATAATGGGATCCCTTGCTGGATCTGCCGGTGGTGCAGCTGGGGTAGCTTTGGGACTCCCTCGTCCCCTACCTCGGGTCGGCGCCCTTCCCCGACCTCTACCTCGGCCTCTAGCAACGGGGGGAGCTGCCCCTCCCGAGTCTGGAACATCTGCCATGCGCGTCCTCACCATCTGTGAGAGAATAGAAGAAGGAAATTTAGTATACCATCAACTGCACGATAGAAGATGAATAAAGAGTAGTTTTTTAACACCCCATAGCCTCTCGAAGATAACTACAGACGTCTCCGTACTGATCCGCCAGACTGTTTTAGGTTTGCCCATGACTTGTGAGACCTACGTGAACCTAGTGCTCTAATACCATGTTGTCACGACTCAATTTCCATTATAGGTCATGATGTCGTCCAACACCGTTGTTAGACAAGCCAACCCTAATCAACTAGTGATTTCTCAATCTTTTAATTAATCATTCTCGGCATTTAATTAACTTAAATTCAAACAATCGATAAGTAATAAATTACAAGGCGACTGAATCGGGAAAGACTAAAAAGGGATCATAGCAATATGATTACAACCCAAAAATAATAGTCTACTAATGTGTGTGCCACGAACTAGTGTCACAAGTACTAGGGCAACTAGTAGAATGTACAAAAGAATATAACTATCCTACTTCCTGAAAGAGAATAGACAGTAATAACAAAAGGAGAGACTCCGGCATGCTGCTGAACGACTCAGAAAGGGGAAGCTCACCGTGGAATCTCGGTCGAGTATCAGGAACGCGCGCCGGACTGGTAGCTAGATGTACCTGCCTCAGATCATGTACATTTAAGTACAGAAGCGTAGTATGAGTACATAAACAATATGTTCCCAGTAAGTATCCAGTCTAACCTCGAAGAAGTAGTGACGAGGGGTCAACTTGACACTTACTAGGGTCAATAATAATATAATTTAAATGTTACGCTAAACATGGATGTCATGGATAAATAACAATTAATAACAGGAAGTGATGGTTCTTTCATATATTTCATTTTCCGACATTTCAATTAACAATCTATATTTCAAGGCATTTTAAGCAGTTCAAATCACAGAAGGTACCAAGTAAATAACATGCGCAAATAATGCCGAGGTCGTACGACCCGATCTAACATAATAATAAAGTGTGCACTGTCGGAGGGCCGAACGGCACGAACCATAGATGCATCTATTACCCCGTTCGCGAATCATACATGCGACGCGATAAAATACAAATAAACACATCAAACAGTCAATCAAGAATTCATTAGGAAGGCAATTAACCATGGTAATGTTAATTTCTCTTTAACGGTCAAGAAAATGATGTTTTAACTTTTTAGAAATTCATTTTCCAAAATCGATATGATTACGCAATTCAAATTGACAACCAAGTTGCTAGTATGGCAAGTAAAGCATATTTTCGGGTCCTAGACTACCCGGACTTAAGCATAATAGTGGCTACGCACGGACTCTCGTCACCTCGTGCGTACGTAGCCCCCAAAAATAGAAGCACATAACCAATTAATTCACCTATGGGGACAATTCCCTCTTACAAGGTTAGAAAAGAGACTTGCCCCGAAGCTTACTTCCAAATTCAAGAATGCGCTCAAACACTCAAATCGGAGCCGAACGATTCAAAACTATTCAAATGACGTATGAACTAGTCAATACATACTCAAGAGTTCATATTCTAGCTATTAAAGTAATTTCTCAACCGTAAATGCAAGGTTCCTAAAATTCATCCCCGGGCCCACGTGTCCGGATCCTGAAAATTTTCGAAGAAAGTTGTTACCCATAACCTAAGGATCAAGAAGATATAATTTTTACTTCATTCCATAACGAATTTCGTGGTTAAATCTTGTTTTTATCAAAACCCTAGGTTTTACTCTAATCCCATGATTTTCACTAATCTTTACATGTTAATCTACCCAAAATCCAAGTATTTAACTCACATATAGTAGGAATTACATACCTCCAAAAGCTTGGTGAAAATCCCCTCTCAAGAGCTCTATAATCGCCCAACCAATGAGTGGAAATGAGGCAAAAATGGCTAACTCCCGCAATAAATGAAGGTCTCTACCTTCAGTGGTTTCCGCATCTGCGGTCCTGGGCCGCACCTGCGCCCACCGCTTCTGCGGAAAAGGGTCCGCTTCTGTGGATCTCTATTGGGCCGCATCTGTGAGAAGCCAACCGCTTCTGTCGTTCCACTTCTGCGGAAAGGAGGCCGCTTCTGCGGTTTATGGGCTAGTCACCTATGGTCGCATCTGCAATGGCTCAGCCGCTTCTGCGGGCTCGCACCTGCGGCTGGCCGACTGCAGGTGCGGTTATGACAGATGCCTGGAGCTTCAGCTCCTTCTCATATTTTTCAACTAAGCTCGAGCCTCGTTCGATTGTCGCTCAGGGCCCTGGGGGCCCCGCCCGAACATACCGACAAGTTTGGAATGATAAAAGGGACTCGCTCGAACCCTCGGAACACCCAAAACAACGCTAAATCAAAGAATCACAGCCTAAAACCAATTGAATCAAACTTATGAACTTCAAGTGCTTCAATCTACTTCCAATGTGACGAAACACACTTATACTACTCGGATTGACACCAAATTTTGTGTGCGAGTCTTAAATGACATTATAGAACTGTTCTCGATCTGGGAATTTCGTTCGGACCTCGATATCATAAAAACCCGCTCCAAACCAAATTTAAAGAACTTCAAAATCCTTTAGGAATCAACTTTCACTATTAGGCGCCAAAACGCTCCCGGGTCATCCAAAACCTGATCCGGACATACGCCCAAGTTCGAAATCATCATAAGAAACTGTTGGAGCCTTTAAATCCTTATTCCGAGGTTGTTTACTCAAAACGTTGCCCGAAGTCAAACTTGGCCTTTTAAGCCAACCTTAAGGAACCAATTTTTCCGATATCAACCCAAACTCTTCCAAATCCCGAACCAACCATCCCCACAAGTCATAAATCAGTAAAAGTAAGTACGGAAAGTCATATTTAAGAGAACGGGATTCTAGAAAGAAAAACAACCAATCGGGTCGTTACATCTTCTCTCTTTTTTTTTTCTTTTTTTCATCCTTTGTTCACCCATGATTGGCTATTTGGATGGGAAAAATAGTCTTTCCTAAGATTGTAATCACTTGCTTTAGTTTTATTCTTCCTTTGAGGTACTATCTATATAATTTTGTGCTCAAGAAATCTATTTTACTTGTGTTTGGTTTTCAGAATTTTGTTACAGACACCCATCCAATTTACTTTAATTTCTATCTTACCTTTGTTCCATTCCCCCTCTCTTTTTCTCAAATTTTCTCAGCTTTTTATTCCTTTGTTGTTCCATGTCCGCCTCGGGATGTCTTCTGTGGTTACGCTTCTTGAAATTGGTATTTTGAGAACGGAACTTTTCTTCTAGAGATGGACCAAATAATTGAATGGTCTACTACTGTGCATCCGATTTCTAGGAGTTCAATGGGAAGAAACAGGCGAAGACTTCAACATAGGATCTACTTGATCTTTGGGTGGTGGCTCAAATCAAATTTTTGTGATTATTTTGGTGTTCACTAGTAAGATAGCAAATGAGAGGCGGAGAGCTCTTTCTGTTCTACTATTTTTTTTGCTTCTTCTCTCTCACCATTGATCTCTTTCGCCCTCCACTGCTTGGTTTGCATTTGCAATTTCTTCATTCTGTCGAGGTTTCTCTTTTGTCTCTTTCTTTATTGCTACATTTTGTTGCTTATGGGAGTTTGATGGTCATTTGTTAGCAGTCCCCTTCTTTTGGGTATTTTTGTTGCTTAATTCTGTCTAAGTAGTGTAAATGCATGTGTATCTTTGTGCCTCATTTTCACATGGATGTCATTATTTAGCCGAAATGGTAAGAATATGGTAGTAAATCCTTACATGTTACTATTATTTTGCTGAAATTGGTAAGAGTCTGATAGTAATCCTTGCTTGTTTATATACATCCAACTGGCTTTTTCATTTGTAGTCAATTTGCTGAATTTTAACTACTCGGCCCATTAACCTTTCTCTATAAACCTTACTCGTAAATTTTGCTTTGGCAGGTTATCTTCTTAGTCTCATTCTCCAAGTACTCCTTTTACGGTAAGTTCACAGTTCCCATGTTCGTGTTCTCAATTAGTGGGAAACAAGAAGTTACATTCTTTAAATGTGCTTGCCTTAAAAAACATGTGCTATTCTATTTGAATATAAGAGTTACATTAGTTTATTTTCTTTCAATAAGATCTATGTTAGTCACATAAACTGATCTTCTTTTTTATTCAGTTCCCTTGTATCACCTTCTTCTTCTTCCGTAAACTTTTCCTGTAACTTCTATTTCTATCTTCCCCTACTTTTATTCTTGGGTGGTTGGAAATTGGAATGTGCGTGTTGTGTACCTCCTTTGCTCTTCTTTGTTTGCCTGAACTTGAACTTCCATTCAGTCAGAATGTCAAACTATAGCTTATTATATAATGCATGTAAGTTTTATTATTTATTCATATTTCTTTTTCTTTGTACTTTTTGGATTTCTTATTTTTTCTATGCATGTTGTTTTACAGTTTTATTTCCATCATTTCTAGTAGCCTTGAACTTTTCTGGGTAAACATGACAGGGCTATCTTTTTCTGTTTGGATTTTGTTTAATGTTACTTTTACTACTTTTGTTGTAACTTGTTAGTTCTGGAATTCAATAATTATTACTCCATGCGTCTATTATTCGCACATTCATGTTCAGAAATTGATCCTTAGATACATGTAATTGTGTATCATTTTAGGTTACTGTTTGTTGATATTCTTTTGACTTTTGGTAACAATTAACCTACTGCTTAATTAAATGGTCTCATCAATAATCTGAAGTATCCAAATTGTTACTTGAAGATTGGGTCTCTTCTATTGCTCTATAAAAAATCTGTTGTTTTCAATATACTGTTCAGTAGGTGTAAAAAGGAGGATGCACGAAATAATTCAAAAAAGAATAATAAACAGAAGGGTGAGTGGAAGATAATGCATGACGCAGAAGGTAATTGGGCCGTGGTGCACAGTGTATTAAGCACATCTTTTGTTGGGGGGGGGGGGGGGGGTTTGGGGGGGTGGGGGGGAAATGGGAGTTAAATAATGTTGAGCAATGTCACTGAGAAATCCAAGAAATAAAGGAGCCAAAAGTTTCAAACAAGACTGATTTAATTATAATTTTATCTCACAGTAACATAAACCTATAAGCATCTTCCAATGCAAAAAGAATCAAAATGTGCTACGAACTATAACGNTGGTTTAATTGGGTTGGGGTATTGGGTTTTAATTAGGCTAAATTAGGAAGCCAAAATCTGGCTATAAGTTAAATAGCCCTTTTCCCCATTTAATTCATAAAAAATAGTAAATAAATTTCTGAAAACTAATTGAAAGCACTGAAATGATTTATAATATATAATTAACAAATTAAAAATACAGGACTTAATTTTATGAGTATAAAACACGATTGAATCTTAAAAGGGCTAATATTGCAATTATATGCGATTTAGCTTAAAAAATACTAAATAAATTTGTAAAAATATGCAAAAAATTTTTTACCATAGCTATATCTTAGCATAAATATAAAATTCCAATAAACGAATTACCAAAATAATAATTTTGGAAATAATTATTGGGTTTTTATGGATGAAAAAGGGAAATAAATCAGTTTAAAAACCTTAAAAAATTATGGAAAAAATAGTAAAATGCTTGGACATACTTATATATGCATTATATATATATATGCTATTTTTAAAGATATTTTGCATAAAAAAATATACAGGGAAAAATTGGGTATCAACAATTATAGCCTACTATCAATACCCCACACTTAAAGCATTGCTCGTCCTCGAGCAATCAAACTACACTTCACATAGACACGACCCTTTTTAAACAACTCTCCTAACTCATCACACCAAGAATAATTAAAATAAATTGAGCACAATACCGTAACATCCTCGCCTCAAGATTTGACTCAAAAGCACCACACATGTTTCACAACCCGCTTACTTACTCTAACACAAAGGTCAACGACATTACCTTTCCTTCGTGAATCAAGTGCCCTCACACAACAATAGAGAGTAGTTCCACAAATAATTAAGTTTAAGAACAGTTAGAACTCAAGATATAAAGAATTCACTCACTCTCAGAAGTAACATTCATATTCCACAAAAGACGTACTATAAGCTTGCCCGTATTGTACTACTCTACTAATTGAGCTCATTCAGTTAATGATCAAGTTGAACTTTATTTGGTTGTAATGTAGGCTGCGGGACGGGTAGGATACATTTGGATATATTGGCTGCACCTCCCTAAGCACTTTAATACATACAATTGACCGTTCAAAACCCCACACTTATGTCAAACCATAACTCCACCTTCACTTTAATATACATCAACTCCCAACTCCTTTAAGCACAAATACACCAAGAGTTACCATTATCAATGAATTTTTTTTAAAAACAGTGCATCTTTCTCCTTATTTTAATAGTTCCACTCAAAAGCCAAACCAACACCATACACTTTAACTTTTACAAAGTTCATAACAAATTCAAGTGCCTGCGAGAGGTAAAAAGGTTCAAATAGATGGTCAATTCAAACAAATGGGTAAGACTTGGAATGTGGTTGCCAAAGAAACCGGATTACAGGCTCAAAGGGGTTAACTAAGATACATAACAATTAAGTGGTTAAAAGTATATAACTGGCTCAACAAAGAGACGCCTATATCATTTCCAAGATTGAATAAAACTACTATTTCGCTTTGCAAGCACACGGGGCAAGTTCTAGACATCAAATGCAATGCACAGAATAACACAAAACCTCTCACACACACGGCACATAACTCACTCAGGATCGGACTCATCAAGACACTCTAGTCAAAGCAGCTAAGCAAAGTTAAGATCATATAATTTATTGTACTTATACAAGAGTAAAAAACTGAGCCTAAACGTCACAACTAAAGTACTTACTATTCTCAAGCCATAATAAAGTCAAGAGTTATCGCTTTCATTTAAAATCACACCACAAGACCTCCTACTCCTAAAAAAATAAAAACTAATTACACCCGTTTTAGACAAAACCCTTGGAAAAGAACCGCGACACAAAGAAAAGCAAAGGGGAATTATTACATTACCTAAGTTTAACAAATATTTTTTTTAAAAAATCCAATCAAAAGAAACGAAAACAAACACACATATACATATGCATATTTACATACCCCACACCACACTTTAAATCGTGGCATGTCCCCATGGCACATAATTAAAAAGCATAAGGTAAAGGAAACTTCCCTGAACATCTAATCGGGGTCTGAGTCGAAGTTGGGTTCCATCCCTCGCGCCCGAACTAATGCACAGATCCATGCGGACAACTTCTTCTCGATCTTCTTTCGGTACACCCCACACTTATCTTTCTCGCTCACCGCAACCTTCTCTTTCGTGCCCTTTATTTTCCATTCAACACTCGCAGCTGGTTTGTCCTTTTGTGCTCCATTTGCTACATCCATCTTAAAAGTCACAATCTCCTCACCCACTCTAAGCATGAGTTTTCTCTCTTGTATATCTAATATAGCTCTACCCATTGCTAAGAATGGTCTTCCTAGGATGAGGGAGACCTCTTTGTTTTCCTCCATATGTACCACTACAAAATCCACAGGAAATACGAACTTATCCATCCGTACAAACACATCTTCCACTATCCCCTTGGGTATTATAGTTGTTTGGTCTGCCAGCTGCAAAGATATGGGTGCACACCGTATCTCTCGAATCTCCTTCTCTAGGTTCCTGTAGATAGATAGAGGCATTAAATCAATCGAAGCACCAAAATCACATAAGGATTTATCAAAATTAATAGTTCCTAAAGAGCAAGGTATAGTAAAACTCTCTAGATCTCCACACTTTTGTAGGAGTTTATTTTGCAATATCGCGCTGCAATGCTTTGTGAGCTTGACCACTGAGGTCTCCTCTATTTTCCTCTTTTCGTAAGGATCTCTTTCAAGAATTTAGCATAAGCAGGCATCTACGAGAGCACTTCTATGAATGGTAAGTTTACATGATCCTGTTTCAGCACATCTAGAGATTTCTCGAACTGCTTGTCCAGCTTTTCTCTACTTAGCTTTTGGAGAAAAGGTAGAGCAGGCATATGCTTGCTCGCCTCAGGTTCCTCCCTTCTTCTTTTAAACATCACTTTTAAGCTGCTCCCCGCTTTCTTTTTTAAGTCTCATATCTTTTTGGATTGGGGTGAGATCTTTCAACACTTGCCCACTTCTCAAAGTTACAACATTCGCTGTTTCATTGGGATTTCTTTCTGTAACAGTCGAAAGCGTTCCTGGGACCCTCTCAGACATTAGAGTTGCTAGGTGCCCAACCTGTCTTTCCAGGTTTTGAAAAGATGTGCCCAATTCTTTGATAGCTGTACCATGGGAATCAAGCCACTCATCTGTCTTGATAATGAAGGCATTCATTAGATCTTCCATACTAGATTGATTAGACTGTGGAGGTTGATACTACTGCCTCTACTGATTTTGAAAACATGGAGCTCTTTGTTCCTGGAATCTGGGGTTATTTTGTTTCCATGCATTTGCAGTACCCCCAGGTGAACTCCATGAAAAATTGGGGTACCTCTGACCCATTGAATTAAAATTATAGTTTTCTGCAGCATTCAGTTCCTCATTTGAGGCTTAACACTCATGAGTAGGGTTTCCTCTTCCACATATATCACAAGCTGCATGAGGCACATTTTTCTAGAGTTTTAAACGTTAATTCTGTGTTTTGAAACCCCAAATAGCTCCTTTTATTCTTCCTCAAATTGCGTGCACAGTCCGTGTCTTTATTCGGAAGGCTTTTATGTAAAAAAATTGATTGAAATGTGAATTCGTGCCTATAAATTCAATTGAGTTAATCGGTCAACATTTTAGAAAACAGACCCGAATCCGTATTTTGACAGCCCCGGTGGGTCCGTATCGTGATTTGGGACTTGGGCGTATGATCGGAATCAAATTCGGAGGTCCCTAGCTCGAGTTATCGCATTTTTGTCAAAAACATTTGAAGTTTAAAGGTTTATAGAATTTAAAGATTTGACCAAAGTTTGACTTTATTG